TGTCTAGTAATCCTTAGTGATCTTTTTATGAAAAGTGTGGTTTTGAAAGTAAGAGTGTAAGTTCACAGTATGTTAGTAGGACCTATTGAGGGTGAGCTCCATCATAGCTTTTTTTTTTTTTACGAAAGCCTCAAATATTCACATTCACATCCATTGTTTGTTTACATATATATGTTCAGTTTTCTAAAAACTAACAGTTTAATCAATAGCCCCTGAGGGAAATAAGACTGGTATAGGCCAAGTAAGGAGACGGGGTGAGAATCACTGTTCAGATGGTTCAGTTTCACTTAATTCCTGTTTGATTTCATACTGCCTTCTGCTGTGTCCAGTATTCCTGAGTCTATAGCCTGGGGTCTCAATGGAGTTAGTAAAGAGGTAACTTCCTATCTGAAAGATCATAGGTGAAGATCTGAGGTCAAATTTCTCCTCTAAAAGTATTTGTACAAATCTTCTTGTTAACCTCACACCTCACACATCTTATCGCTTTCAGTTTTTGAGTTTTTGAGTCTTTTCTGCATTGTTGAAAGAAGCACAATGATGGAGCTGTCCAGCTCTACAGTTTCCAAATATGAGAGGCTTAATGATGTCAATACTGTTGGAGGAAGAGATTAGGGAACTGTCTCGAATCTGAGTGATCAGCCTCCGGGAAGCCTGTCCTCTTATGCACAGGGAAAGTCTCAGTGAGAGGGGCAGCTGTGAGTTATCAGCAGTTACTAGTGTCATCAGCTAGATGGATGGGTGCATGGGCCCCGGAGAGGTGATCTGGGAGGAACCACAACATCTACTAGGGAGACAGTCAGAGTCCAAACACAAAGCATCCTATATGAACTCAGAGAGTATTTGGGCTTTATACTATGAATGGAGAGCTACTAAAATATTTTCAACAGGGAATGGATGTGATGAAATTTGCATGCTAGAAAGATGTCCGAGGGAGCAGGATAAATGTAGACACAAAAAGATAAGAACAAATGCAGAGAGAACAGTTGGGAGGCTATAGCAATAGTGTACAAGATACAATATGAAGATCTGAAATAAATACATTGAAGTGGAAGGCTAGGTTACTAGGAGGTGGGCTCAATGTGATTCAGGGATTTACCAGAAAATCCAGATGAATTGTAGACAGGTACCAAAGGTAACTCTCACAATTGTGTCTACAGGGATTAAGTTAAAATGATATAATTAACAAAAACTGGGAATATAGGAAAAGGATCTGGTATTATATAGATTCAAGTTGAATCCACAGTCATCTCAGGGGATACCTAAGGCCAAAATGTCATCTGACAACTGATCCAGAATCCACTATATCACCTGCATCTTTTGTTGACTCATAAATTTATTATTCGTGTTGTATATCATTTAATTTATTTTTGCCATAAATATATATCAAGAATGTAATATATATTGGGCACTATTTTAGATAATGGCAAAAAAAGTGGTAGCCTATTTACATGGTAAACTAAGAATAGCAAAGCAACTGATGGGATCTTTCAAAATATTTTTCTGGGCAAAATGAAGAAATAAGTTCATATCAGACAACTCAGTACACTTGTAAGTGGTTGGATGGCCTATTCAATATGTGCTAAGAGGCTAATATTGTCTTAAAGGTTGTATCTAAACTTGGTCCTCAGCCTAATTTTTTTTCAAATATCTTGTTAATTATTTGAATAAAGGTACAGAATGTGTGTTCATCATATTTACTTTTGAGAGGGTGAAATAAATATAACACAAGTAACCATAGTTATTTTTACTGACTGGATAAAATAACTAAGTTTAGATGAAAAATAATAAATCAATTTGTGTTTGGGGAAAAATACACTTATAAAAGCACACAATTGGGACAGCGTGGCATTCAAAAAAGCGAATATGACCTTCAGTTTTATTGGTAGAAATATAGCATATGAAACAAGAATACTGAAAGTACTGATCTATTCCACATCCATTAGGCCACTAAATGGTTTCAATTGTATACATCATACTTTCCAAAAGGCATCCATCCCAGAAAAAGCAAAATCAGAAAATCAGGGCATTGAAAGCTTAAAGTTATAATACATAAGGAAGAGGTGAAGGCAATGAAAATATTTATCTTTAAGAAGTGTAGAATTGTTTGGGTGTAGAATTGTTTGGGGGTAATATAGACTGGGGAATATACTATTACATCATTGAATATTTGATTCAAGGCTTGTGGCTAGAATATTATTTTAAATGTCTTTTTAGAGTAGACCCAGAACCAAGGGGTGAAACCTTCAAAGCAATTCTCAGAAAAGAATGTGGTCCTCTTAATTTTTTTTTTTTTTTTTTTTTTTTTTTTACCATGGCCACCTAATTACTTGGCAAATATACGGTATGTTATCAACAAATTTAGTTTTGAACTAGACAACCTTTAAAAAATACCTTGAATGCTGAAATTCTCTGATTGTGTAACCTGAGGACTGAAGGACTACATTCAAGGACTAGGGTGTTTTCAGTCTTTTTGAGTTCAGTTCCAGATGCACCGGGTCCTTTCGGGCACCATTCATTATGCATCCAACCCACTGCTGTGTCCCCAGCCAGCAGAAGTGAGAAACTCAGGACCTTTCTTGGCACATGTGTGTCCTTGAGGTTCTGAAAACTGGGAAAATGGAAGGAGTAGGTGTTTCCAAGGCATTCAATACTTTGGTTTAAAAAAAAAAAAAAAAGAATGCTAAAAGGCATAAATTTAAAGTTAACCTTTCATTTTGACAGACTTTCTGTGGATCCAAGACTTTCGGCTGAGTCACCAAGTCAACCACAATATAACTGTTTCAACTGACTAGGAATATTATTTCTGAGTCACAGTAATGTAATGATCTGAACATTTATATTTTCTCAGTCACCTAGTACATACTAACTTCACTTCAAAGCTGAATAATATATTAAAGATAATATTGTTCATTGAATACTACACTGTATGAAAATACTGCAGGTTAAAAATCACTTAAATTCATTAAAAATGTTCAACTATCAAGTCCCTATTTCATAACAAATTTTCCCTCAGAAAATATGCAAGGAGTAAACAATACATGACTCATTTATTAAAGCTTCCATGTTTTTATTGCAAATTCCTAGTCAGGCTTTGGAATAGATACTTCCCTTCTATAATTACCAAATTCTCTGAGTCACTAGGTTTCTAGATGTTGACAGGAAAGCCTGTTCCTGTGTCCTTGTACTATCACATGTGGGCAGGATAAAATGTAACTCTAGAATTTGTACTAAAGGTGGGTGGAAGTTCCACTCTTAGATCCAGGCACCCTCAGGCTCAGCCCTGAGCCCTGTGATTTACAGTCTTCTCAAGCTATTATTATGTAAAAATAGATATCTTGGGATATTATTCAAATGCACTCTGTGATCCCTTAGAGCTGGGCTTGGGGCCTGAGAACTTGCATTTCCACAAGTTCTCAAATGATGCTGATGTTGCTGGTCCATGGACCACACTTTAACAACAATTGACTTAGTAATTCCCATTCTGTCCCTCTTTTAGACAGACCCTTCCCCCACAGGTTGTAGTTCTTGTGACTTAGGGAACCTGCCAACTCAGAACCTGTGTCCTTTTTTTCTAAGCCACACTTTGGGTATCCAAGACCCCAGAATTACTGGTCCAGACATCCTCCCAAAACTGTGCATACCTGTCCCCAGTCTGTCCTTGCCATAGAAGACTCCACCAGTGTGTACACACCTGTATCTAAGAGTGGGCAGAAAATCAGCTATTTGAAATAAGTTAAGTTGTGTGGGTAGGGGTTGGGGGGTAGGGGGACACACAGATGTGCCCCATGCAAAACCTCCCCTGTTACAGGGTGGAGAATGGAGTAGAAACAGAAAATAAATGGACTATGATTATAGGACCTTCATTGTTTTCTTGCTCCAGCAGGCAAGTGTAGTGTTGGTCTTGCCCTTATACCTACTTATGTAAATGACAGGGAGAAATCCCATCCTGTTATGACTCATCCCTGATTTTAAGGATCTGGGACCACAGGCGGTTCTTGAATAGTTCTATTTCATGAGGAAGCATTGCATCTATAGTGCTCTTCTTAGGGTGAATGAAAAATGTTTTCCTCCTTCCATATAACCCTCTACACACTTTTCTCAGATGACCACAAATGTAGGGGATAGTGTATGTGCTTTGGATTTCAGCTGAAATACAACTAACTTCCTGTATGAATTTGAGCAAGTCAGTTGACCTTTTTGCCCTCAGTTTCTTTATCTTTAAAATGGGAGTAAGAACGCCTCCCTGTTCTCTTCCATCTCCTTCTTATTTCCACCCAATTTAATTTGATGCCATTTTCAGTTTTGTGTTCAAATGCTACCATCTTTGATTAGATCACGTGCCTGTATCTCATCTGGAAGTAACTTCTCATTGCACTTGCAACCGTTTGTCCTTGTTTTTGTGGTTTTGTTTTGATTAATGTCTTTATAGCTCATTGGACTCTGAGAGAGCAGGGATTATGTCTGCTTAGTTCCCTGTTACATTCATTCTATCTTGCACAAAACTTGGCACCTGCTAGATGCTAAATCCCCATTTGCTAATGCACAAATAAATGTGTGATTATTGTCATAATTAGAGAACACATACTAAATGACTGGCACGTAATAGGTGCTTAGTAAATGACACCGATTGTTTCTCAGTGCAATTTATGCTATAAATATTTAATTTTCTTTTCTCATATTTGACATATGGGGAGAATGGGGTGAATTTGAGACAACTACAATTTAAACTGTCCAAGTCAAGAAAAAAATGTGGTGTGATAAGCTACTGGCCTCAACAGCTGGAAGCATGACACACTTTTTAAAGACTAAAGAAATGAAATATCCAGTTTAAATCAAAGGATAATAAAGGCAAGAAAATGTTGTATTTGCCAGATTTCCTTGCCCTTGCCCCAGCCCAAACTCTAAAGAGTGCATCTTCTTTAAAAGCGTGTGGTGAAACTAATTCCCTACCCAAGTGTTCATGCCAGAGTCACTGGTCTCACCCTTCTTCTTCACAACTCAGGGGTTATTTTAAAGGTCTCTTTAATATTGGCCAGTCCAAATATTCTCTTGTCAAATATTTCTGGGGCCTGTACTTGAAGAAAGAAATGATTTTCTCAAATCTGTGAACAGGACACTTTTTTTAATGTCAAAATAAACCATCTGCTTGTACAACTGTTTCTAATTACTTCCCTGCCTAGACTCTCCACTGAGGGGTTTGGCACCAGCACCCCGCCCAGAGCAGTGCCGCTGCCCAAATCCTCGCAGGCAGCTCATCAACGCAATTGCAACTCCGGCTGGAGTCCCGGACCTGCAAGCCTGGGTGTCCGTGGGTCCGTCTGCCCGGCCATCTGCTGGTGGCACCTCTCCCTCCTGCCGCCTCCCTTGGTGAACCCCACCTTGCAGAAGTGCAGCTCGCCCAGAGCAGCCCAGGAGCTCAGCATGCATCCCCCAGGCTTCAGGAACTTCTTGCTGCTGGCGTCCTCCCTTCTCTTTGCTGGATTGTCAGCTGTTCCTCAAAGCTTCTCGCCATCTCTGAGGTAAGTTTGGTTTGTTATTCTTCAGTAGAGACCTGCCCTGCTTATGTGGCAGGGCTCAAGCTTGCAGGATGGCTGCACTAAGCCAAGAGTTGTTACTAAATTGGACACGGGATAAACTGTTTTCAACCTGTTCCATTCCCTCTCCTTATACCTACACTGTGCATTGCCTCATGTCTGTCCTTTTGCTTTTCCTTTGGAAAAATGCAATCAGTGAATAAAAATATAATTTATACTCCTGCAAATATATATCAGGAGGAATTTCTGCCACGAGTTAAAATTCTATGTGTACCCGTATCTTCTCACAATCTATAAAGCAGAATGATCTCTGTTTCCCAACAGCAGCAACAGGTCTATATTACATTTTGTATCACATTCGGAAAGAGACGGAGGCACATTGCAATAGTGAAACTAAACTTTTTAAAAGTAGAGTTCCTAAAGACTGCTTAATGCAAATTATGCCCGATGCTATCATAACATGTCTAATTCTTTCTATATATTCACCTCTTCTCTTCCATAATATAACTGCCCATTGGCCATCAGATAGCAGTGGGACATTTTTTAAAGGAAAACTGAAAAGTCAGCTGAGTGCCATACCTTGGATTACTTTGTATTTAATCTAAATGTGCATATGAGATTCAGTGACAAACTACCAAAGAGCAGGGCAGATCACCTCTGTTCACCTGGAGAAAGGACCTGTGTCCGGGGGGCAGGTAACCGCCTTACACGTTTTGGGCCCTGGTCATTTCTCTGGTGGGTGGTACCTGCTTGCTTGGGAAAATATAGCCCTTCCAGGCAGCGCTTGGACCGCAGAGAGATGTGGGCCTCAGACTTCCTGTTCTTGGGGTTGTGCGTCTGCACCTGGAGGAGACACGGGGGAGGAAACGTGGGTTCGGAGCAGGGGGCGGTGTCCGCGTCTGACCCCGCCTGCCGGTTGCTTGTTGCCCGCGCAGGAGCTGGCCGGGCGCCGCCTGCAGGCTGTCCCGGGCCGAGTCGGAGCGCCGCTGCCGCGCACCTGGGCAGCCTCCGGGGGCCGCGCTGTGCCACGGCCGGGGCCGCTGCGACTGCGGCGTCTGCATCTGCCATGTGACTGAGCCGGGCATGTTCTTCGGGCCCCTGTGTGAATGCCACGAATGGGTGTGCGAGACCTACGACGGGAGCACCTGTGCAGGTAAGGGGGCGACGCTGTCTCCTCCTTCGGGAGGTAGGAACTCCTCTTCTGGGATTTCTGCCACTCCCTAGAAGAGTGAAGGGTGGGGACACGCCTCCTTTCACATAAGCACCAATTAAGTTACCGCACTTGTCACACTTTGGCTAGTTAATTCTGCCATCATTTATCACAATACTTTTATCCCCCAGGCTCCGAACTTGAAGTAGTATTTTAAAAATTCATTCACTTAACTATATATTTTATTGTAATTATATATTTTATTGTAATTACGATTTTTTTAAGATGGGGTCTTACTATGTTGCCCAGGCTGGTCCCCAACTCCTGGGCTCAAGCCATCCTCCCTCCCGGGCTTCCCAAAGTGTTGGGATTACAGGCGTGAGCCATTGCACCTGGCCGTCATTTGCTTAATTCTAAAATCTCGCTTGCCTCTGAAGTTCCTCATTACAGACTAAATTCCCCAATGTCCTCACAAATAGAGTTATTTTACTGGGTTCTCCTATCCCTATCAAGAATGTTAATCATAATATTTGTAGATCTTAGGCCTGTATTTTATTTTACATAGGAAACAGTGGGAGGGGGAATGTATTATTTTCCTCCATTCTAGGGAGGCAGGTTTTGCCTTTGAAGCCTGATTAGCCCTCTCATCATTAGAATATAGTTCACAGGCAGGAGTGCGTATCAGAAAATGATAATAAGGAAAAAAATAAACAGGCACATATTTACTTAGAAGCGACTGTTTCTGCATTGTTCTAGCTGCTTGAATTTTTGAGTTGCAATGAAACTTGGTATTTTTTAAGGGTGGAGTGAAAATACATTCATTTTCCTTGCACATTTTTAAGGAGTGATTCAGGTTCTGATATTGGAAAGGGTCAAAAAATTCCTTCCCAGAGAACACCCTTAACCTCTTCACCTGTTTCAGATAAATGTGTCATTTTACTTAAGGCCAAGAGCTTCAATTAGTGCCTTGTGAGTGACACAGAACTCCATTAGTGAAAGCACAACACAATGCATTCCAGACAGGGTTTGGCAAATTTGTAGGAGAAACTAGCCACTTATTTTACCCTCAGTGTAGCTAAGACTAATAAGTCAGCCAACACTAACATAGAAAGATCAAGAATGAGTTTATAGCAAAATAGTTTTTTCTTGGAACCTGGGCCCAGTAGTGTGTAAGTTAGGTTACTTAACATGCAGGCTGCTTGGCAATGCAAAAATAGTCATAGAAGAAATTTGGAGGGGCGCAGGTGCATCTACTTTGTTTGTTTTCCCTGTGAAGGCTGTGAATCAACCCTTTAAAAATACTGGATGCTGGGTGGGGTGGCTCACGCCTGTAATCCCAGCACTTTGGGAGGCCAAAGCAGGCGAATCACTTGAGGTCAGGAGTTGAAGACCAGCCTCGCCAACATGGTGAAACCCAGTCTCTACTAAAAATACAAAAATTAGCCAGGTGTGGTGGCATGTGCCTGTAATTCCAGCTACTTGGGAGGCTGAGGCAGGAGAATTGCTTGAACCTGGGAGGCGGAGGTTGCAGAGAGCCAAGATCATGCCACTGCACTTTAGCCGGGGTGACAGAGATTGAGAATTCATCTCAATAAATAATGAAAATATTGAACACCACAACTTGTTATTTAACTTTGTAGCCCTACAAGCTGCAGTATTATTAAGGGTAGCCCTTTGGAATGAAAGCTAAGTTATCGCCTAATATTTTATTCCGAATTTGACTGTTACTTGGCTTCTCTGACTTATGGCCTCTGGCAAACCCTCTTCAATATCATGAATTTTGAACAAATTTTCCAGGGCATTTTCTCTTGTTTTATTACAGACGTAAGAGGTAAGATGCAGCCTTTAACTGGGGAGAGTTCTGAGTACCATCAGATTCACTTTCTCTGTTGAACAACCTAGGCTGGTGCTTTTCTCCCCAAAACTATGCAGAAGGAATGCTGTGGTAGACAGCGTTCTTTTTCCCCTCCCATAGAAAATGATTTGTTGTTTACTCATAGCATCTTAGTCACTGCATTCCTTCCTTCCTGATACAAAATGCAGGACTGAGTTAAGCATGGTTTTGTTTGGTTATGCATGCACTTCTATAGAAGATGAAATGCTTCTCTTTAAGACTGAATGGAATAACGAAGTTCATTTTTTATTCTCATCTTGCTGACTGATGCCCATCAAGGCCTACTCTACAGGGCCTTGAGCAGAATCTGTCCTCGCAAATGCCCTGACCACGTTTGTGAGGCCCATGTGAAGATCCCTACAAGTAGCACACAGGGCTGCCTTGCGAGCTCATCAATGTATTCCGTGCCTCAAATTTAGCTTCTCAGTTTTATTTTTAAGAAATAGTTCCAATTTTATCACTGTAATATGGAAACATAGCAGGTTTTCTATGTTTATGTGCACCTGTGCACACCTCCGTGAAATTTCCTGTAGGTGCTTTCCAGAAATAGAGTAACTTCCAGAGACCTCTCCAACTTCTAAGAAGAAAACAAAATCCTTCTCTCATAGTACTATATCATGGAGTGATTAAAAGTATGGGCTCTGGGCTGGGTGTGGTGGTTCATGCCTGTAATCCCAGCACTTTGGGAGGCCGAGCTGGGTGGATCACCTGAGGTCAGGATTCAAGACTAGCCTGGCTGACGTGGTGTGAAACCCCATCCCTACTAAAAAACACAAAAATTAGCCAGGCTTGGTGGCATATGCCTGTAATCCCAGCTACTCAGAAGGCTGAGGCAGGAGAATTGCTTGAATCTGGGAGGCACAGGTGGTGGTGAGCTGAGATTGCGCCACTGCATTCCAGCCTGAGCAACAAGAGTGAAACTCTGTCTCTAAACAAATAAAAATAAACTTGGCTGGGCGAGGTGGCTTACACCTATAATCCCAACATTTTGGGAGGCCGAGGTGGGTGGATCACTTGAGGTCAGGAGTTCGAGACCAGCCTGGCCAACATGGTGAAACCCATCCCTACTAAAAATACAAAAAAATTAGCTGGGAATGGTGGCACGTGCCTGTAATCCCAGCTACTCGGAAGGCTGAGGCAGGAGAATCCAGGAGGTGGGGGTTGCTGTGAGCTGAGATCATGCCATTGCACTCTAGCCTAGGCAACAAGAATGAAACACTGTCTCGAAAAGAAAAAGAAAAAAGAAAAAGTGTGGACTCTGGGAGAAAATTTCTAGGATTCAAATCCTAGTCCTACTACTCAATAGCTGCATGAACACACCAGGGCCTATCATGGGGAGGGGGGAGGGATTGCATTGGGAGTTATATCTGATGTAAATGACAAGTTGATGGGTGCTGACGAGTTGATGGGTGCAGCACAGCAACATGGCACAAGTATCCATATGTAACCTGCACATTATGCACATGTACCCTAGAACTTAAAGCATAATAATAATAAAAACTAAATTAAAAAAAATAGCTGCATGAACTTGGGCAGTTACTTAAACATTCTCACCTTGATTTCTTCATCTGTAAAATGGGAATAACAGTACCTACCTTACAGTACTCTTGTAAGGTTTAACATACGTAAAATACTTAGACTAGCATCTGACACAAAGTAAGTGCTCAGTACATATTAACATGTATATATACATTACATATTATTACAGTGACGCATAACCGGTGGGCTAGTATGGATGGAAGGACGGGTGGATGGAGGTGACAGATGGATAGATAGCTGGCCTGGTGTTTGTCGGGCATTTAATACAGTGAGAGCAATTTAGTTCTCTTCACGTAGTCTGGGCTTGTTATTGATTCAAGGCCCAAAAGGTCAAGTAAGGATAATTATTTTGGCCCAGCCTCAGGGCAGCTGTATTAGATACACTATGCCCTTTTAAAGTTAAGTCCATTGGGATTATTATACTGTGAATCATAAGAAACGTACTTATTATAGTTGGTGCTGGTTGAAAGTGATTAGGCTCTCGCCATTAGAAGTCTATTTCTTCCATTGTCCACTTGTTCATGGCACATGCATCTTCCTCAGACTATTATAGCACAAAGATCCAGGCAAGTGAGTGTTCCTATGGATGTGATGGTCTATTAAAGGGTAAAATAATTTTGGTAGAATGGTGAAGCCCTGTCTCTACTAAAAATGCAAAAATTAGCTGGGTGTAGTGGTGTGCGCCTTGTAGTCTCAGCTACTCGGGAAGCTGAGGCAGGAGAATTGCTTGAACCCAGGAGGCAGAGGTTGCAGTGAGCCAAGACTGTGCCACTGCACTGCAGCCTGGGTGACAGAGCGACACTCCATTGCGGGGAAAAAAAAAAAAAAAGAAAAAAGAAAAAAGAAAAGAAAAGAGAAAAAAAGAAAGAATGGCAAAGTGTTTGATTGCATAGAAAGAAACTTTCAGTTGATATTTCCAAAGTATTCCTGGTTGCCCCCATGACCAGCTGTAATGACACTTAAATAATATATTGTTTTCTTAGAAATCTTTTGAAATTGCTGTTGAAATACATCACCAAAAAAGTTTCGGTTTTAGTAATTTAGGAAGAGCTAATATAATTCAATTTAGCAACACTTGTGAAGCACTGCATATTTTCTAGGCTCTCTCCTGTTGAAGGGAGTGTAAAGATGAGGGATAGAAGGCAGCTGACCATTGAGTAGGGAGACAAAGAGAAATACCAGATATCTATAATACAATGCAAGATATCATTTGTACAAATTTTTGTGAGGGCTCCATTGAGCCAGGGGTTATATATTATGGTTAAAAGTTCTTGAGAAAGAGGTAGCATTTGACATAAGCACTTAAGTACTGGGAGATTTTTTAATCCAAAAAGTGAACTGTTGGAATTCTGAGCAAGGAAAATCTTAAGCAAAGGTGTAGAAGCAGAAAAACATGTGGATGTTTGGGAAATAGTGAAGGCTACAAGGGTTGGCTTGGCTGGATCTTAGAGCTGTAAGGAAAGTAATAATAGATAGGTTGAGAATTACAGTTGATCATATTGTAGAGAGTTTGTTCTTGATTAAACAGCATATAAGAGCTATTAAGAGTTCAAATATGGGAGCGATCATT